AATGTTTTAAAAATCCCAATGACCAGCAGGGCAGTGTCAAGAAGTGTGTGTAATTAAAGACTCAGTAGAGGACAAAAACTCTTTTTTGAAGAAATAATGGTTAGCATTTTTTTTTCTCAACACAATAAACTACAAACCTACAAAACACTCAACAAAAAGCAAACAAAAAACACCAAACCCACAAAATACGAAAGAACATACACTTTAAAAAGGGGGGGAGGGGAGGAGATTAAAAAGTAAATCTTTTTAAAATGTAGGGAAAAAAGTATGTAGAAAAAAGTACATACAAGAAACAAAGAACAGCTTTATATATGATTATATATTACACTATTATAATAAAGGTATAGGATAATTTGAACATAGGCTGTGTTACATCAAAGAACAAATACATAAAGATGTACAACAAGTAGTACAGCCACTATCCCAAAAGCAGATATAAAATGAAATACTAAAAATAATCTAAAATAATTAAGATCAAGGTATTTTACAATAAAGTACCAACACCACTGAAAAAGAATGAACTAATTAACACATCAACATATATCTTCATATACTGAATGAATAAAGGAAATTACCAAAAAATATTACGATAGTGTGTTACTCTAAAGGGAGAAGGGAAAGATAAGGATTTCAAAATTATTGGAAATTTTGTCTTTCTTAAAAGAAAAGATTGTATTATCATTTTTCAAAGCTTATATATGTTTTAAAAAAAAGTTTTCTCTTAGGCATAGATTGTATTATCATTTTTCAAAGTTTATATATGTTTTAAAAAAGTTTTCTCTTGGGGCTGGACATAGTAGCAAGGGATAAAAGCTTGTGCATGCAAGAAGCTCTGGGTTTCACACTCAGCACCATCACCACCACCCCCACAAAAGTAAAACTTACAACCATTAATATCTTGTGAGTGACAATTTAGTATTAACCACAAAACCATTCTCTGGACCTAAAGAAAATAATTTACAAAGACAGTACTGTATAGAAGTTCACTTTTCCTGTCTTTGGGATTTTTCCCTGTTACTGGTTTTAAGAGAAAAATCTACAGCTATTCCTTCAGTGATCGGGAGGACATATCACAAAGACACTAAAAACTTCACGGTCCAGACCAGTACAGTATGCTATTTCTCTAAAAGAAGAAAACCAAAAAAATGTATGTAGTAGTTTTCAAAAACACAGAAGATAACTTCAACTGGCAGAAACTAGGGAAGGAAAGTAAGTGGCTAAGAGACAGGGGATGGAGAAAGACTTTTCACTACGATCCACCTGAATTATAGTTCTGAATTACAGTTTGTAACTAATATTTATTCCAAAAAAGCCTGATTTCGATCTGGGTGGGATGACTCAAGCCAGTAATCTTAGCTACTTGGAAGATGGAAATTGGGAGGATTGTGGTTGGAAGCTAACAAAAAGTTCAAGAGACCCAATCTCAATCAATGGCTGGGTGTGGAGGTACAAACCTATCATCCCAGCTATGCAGCGAAGCACAAATAGGAGGGTTTGTGGTCCAGGTCAGTCCAGGCATAAACAGAGACCCTATATCAAAATGAACCACACAAAAAGGGCTGGCAGAGCAGATCAGTGGTAGAGTGCCTGCCTAGCAAGTGTATGACCCTGAGTTCCCACCCTAATACCACCAATCAATCAATCAATCAATCAGCATAGGCAGATTACAGTACCACAAAAACAACCAAGCAACCCCACCCTAATTAACCTGCTTAAATGAAATGTGGACCACTAATCCCAGTACCATGTTGTCTTCAAGACCTCACAGAATTCTTCAAATACATGACAATCAGCCTGTTTTAAAACAATTACTACACTACTGCAGGCAATTCCTCAGTTTCATTTTCAAAATCTTAAGAGACCCTAAGAGACTTTTCTTTGGAATGAAGTCAAATTTCAGGTATTAAATAATTAGGCTGGTTGCCCAATTCATTATTACTTTTCACTTAAAAAAATATGTATAGAGGCTCTACAAATAAACACAGCACCAGGAACAAATAGAGATAACAGAGAATAAATGTTACTGGCTTGGCCTTAGCATTGTAACCAGAGTCAAATAATGTCATGAATGTCATGAAAGAAATAGGTTAAACTTCTATAAAAGGTACAGCTCTACTTCCATAAAGAAGACTGTGAAGAGAATGAAAAAAGAGTAGCAACAAAACAATAGAAATGGCTTACAAAATAAATCTAAAGACTGCCTTGGTTTTGGGAAAAATAAAAACACTGACAAAGAGGGGTTAGGGGATTTGTGGCCTAGCAATTGGGGGCTACAAGAAAGAATGAAGTCAGTCTCTTGGCTGGACACCTCCTGGTTCATGATATTGATCAATGAAGAATACAGCCTCAGGATTTCTTTGGGGGGGACGGGGAAGAGGGCCAGGCAGAAGGAATAAAGCTGGAGTTTTCTGAACTTAGGGGCTTAGTGCTCTACACTTGAGCCATGCCCCAACCCTTTTTACTTTAGTTACTTGGCCTGGAGAACGATCCCGCTATTTAGGTCTCCAATGCAGCTGGAATGACAAACCTGTGCCATCACGCTCAGCTTTATTGGTTGAGACAGGGTTTCAATAACTTTCTACTTGGTCTGCCTTGAACCAACCTATCCTGGTTGGTCTCCTGATTAGTTGGGATTACAAATTTGAGCCATCGCACTGCAAACCGCCCGCCTCAGATTTTGCGTGAAAGGTTAAAACCAGAATTATATGGGATGACGTAACTGTATTCTGACCCGATATGCAAGTGAATGCAAGTGAAGAAATTTAAGAAATAAAAGGGTTGGGGCATACATAGCTCAATAGTAAAGCATGTGCTTAGTAAGCACAAAGCGTTCTAGGTTCAATCATTGGCAATAAGCCAACAATAAAAAAAAAATAAAATCCTTAGTATTAATCTTAGCATTTTTTTTTTTTTTACTTTTTTGGGGGGAGGAGGGACTGGGGTTAGATCTCAGGGCTTTGTGCTTGCAAAGCAGGTATTCTACCACTTGAGCCACACCTCCAGTCCATTCTGCTCTGGCTATTTTGGAAATGGGTTCGCACTATTTCTCTAGGCTGTTCTCGAACCAAAATTTTCCCAATCTCAACCTCCTAAGTAGTCAGGATTATAGGCATGAGCCACCAGTACCCAGCTTTGTGATATTTTAGTGTATTTAGTTTAAGCATTTTTAACACTTAAGATAATTTTGCCTATTAGAGTAAAAGATCAGCTTTATAATTCCAATTTAAAAACTGTCAGAACTTTTTACTTTATTAGATTTACATTAACATTTGTAGTTTGCCAGAAAATCGAAGTGCCGAACAAATACCAAGTATATTAAAAATTATTTAAAACAGTTTAAATTTTTTGGTCAAAACACATGAAGAAATGCTCAACATCCCTGACCATAAAGGAAATGCAGATCAAAACAAGTTAAGATTCTACCTCACTCCTGTTAGAATGGCTATCATCAAGAATACAAACAACAACAAATATTGGCGAGGATGTGGGGAAAAAGGAACCCTTACAAACTGTTCCTGAGAATGTAAATTTAGTACAACCACTATGGAAAAACATTATGGAGTCTCCTCAAAAAACTAAAAATAGAACTGCCATATGATCCAGCAATTCCACTCCTAGGGACATACCCAAATGAATGTAAGCCAGGTTACAACAAAGACATCTGCACACCCATGTTTACTGCAGCATTATTCATAATAGCTAAGCTATGGAAACAGCTAGGATGCCCCACTACTAATGAATGGATTAAGAAAATGTGGCATTTATTTATAATGAAATTTTATTCAGCCACAAAGCAGAATGAAATTTTGTTATTTGCAGGTAAATGTACGAAGTGGGAACATCATCTTAAGTGAAGACAGCCAGGTTCAGAAAGTCAAAGGCCACATGTTTTCTCTCATATTTGGAATATAGACCCAATATAAATACAAGCAATATCCTAAAAAACAGGTCATATTACAGGGAGGTCACATACTAGAGAGAAGGTAAAAGAAGTTATGAAGGTGAATACACTGATGTACTTTCTATACAAGAATGAATATAGAATTTTTAAACCTGTTGCCATCACCACAAGAAGGGAACTAAGGTAGAAAGGTAAAAAATAGAGAGGATGAACCTATCTGTGTCATAATACATATATACGTCGAAATGTCACAATGAAACACTCTGTACAGCTAGCTCAAACAAACAAAAAAGTTTTTCTGTTTCGTTTCAAAAACAGAGAACAGGAAGGCAAACAGGTCCTGTCTGAGGGGTTGGAACTAGTGGGAGGGGGGAGGATATAAGGAAAGGGTGTAAGAGGGTGAGTATGGTAGAAATATTATGTACTCAAGTAGGAAAATGGAAAAATGAGACCTGTTGAAACTATTCCAGGAATGGGGCTTTAAAGGAAAATGATAAAAGGGGTGATTTCAACTATGATATACTGTAAGAACTTTTGTAAATGTCACAATGTACCTCTAGTACATCAATAATAAAAAGGAAAAAAAGTATTTTTAAGTTTAAACTTTTAATTAGCTAAGGAAAGAATAAAATATAAAACAAAGTACCCTTTTAAATACTGTCTGAATATACTGTATTTATTTTTTAAATAAGACTTGTAAACTGACTTCAAAAATTAAGAAAGAATTAGGGTTTTAAGTTTAACTTTAGGGCCAGTTCCATTTGTTTATGCCTGTAATCCCAGCTACTTGGGAGGTAGAGTTGGGGAGGGTTGCAATTTGAGGCCAGTCCAAGCAAAAACAAAAAAAAATAAAGTTTGTCTCCATCATCCAAACTGTTGATTTGTTCTAGTCTAGTGAGGTAATATAATGAGAACCACCCTTTTACCAATACACTTTTCCTCTCCAAGATGATAAGCACTTTCAAAAAGGATCATTTTCTACACATACTACTCTATCTCTAAAAACATCTCAGACAAGGCAACTCTAATACATTATAACTGCTGTTGGTTCATGAACAGAATTTAGTGATTACCAGTTTGGTTTTAAATGCACTATTACCTCTGTTATATCCCAATGGTGTAAAAACTGATCCAAATCTGTAAGGTAGAGAAGCACAGAGGAAAGCTGCGTCTGGATGACATGAGGAACTCCTCGAAGGCTCTGAAGCCAAGTCAACTCCTCTTTAGAAAACCCTAATGCAGGTGACAAAGAAAGCCAAGTAAAATACAATTACCAAGCAGTAACCTTCTTTGTAATTTTTAAAAACAGAGATGACATGCCCTTCACATAAACTCTTCTTTAAGCTACCCTGTTTTTTTTCTGAGTTTCCGCATCTCTTGCAATATCCTATGAAATGAAATTCTAGCAATGGAAGTAGTTATGGTCACATACACACAAAAGATGTAATCTTGACCCAATCTAAAATAACAGTAAGAAATGGGTTTACACCTTCTACTGGAGTTTTACTACTTTTAGCTTAAAAAAAAAAGGGGGGGTGATACTAATAATCGTCCCAATTAGTGATTATAAAAAAGCAGATAAAGAATATACTCTTTCACATATTTGTCAAACTCTATATGTTCTCACACAATAGTCCTTCCAATGTTTTAAAACTGTTCTTTCCCCATTCCCCAAGTCTTTTTTGGGGAGGTGTGCATGAGTGCACAGGGACAATACATTTGTATAGTTCCTTCAGCAACACCTGTCTAACAAAATTTTGATTCCTTTACCACCCCTATTGCACTTGGCCTAAACTACACAGACAACTTACCAAAGTCCTTCCTGGTAGATGGCACACAGAATGATCAGAATACCACTGCTATGGCCCAACCTGGCTCTTTTATGTCCAGCTTTCTAAATTTGTATGAGCACAGCCAAAAAGGCATTAAGTAGCTTAACAGCCACACAATAGCACTGACTACTAATGAGCTTTCTAAAACCACTGAAAACTTTTTGACAGGTAACTATTATTAAAACATAAATCCCTCATATCTCAAATATACACATGTAACAATATCAAATAAACATAAAGGAGTTTATATTGTTTAAAAAATATTTATCTTGCTAGATTCAAGTCTTTTGGATCCTGACAATGTATTAATTCTAATTTCAAAACTTAAAAAAATTTCAAATACTCTCATCACCATCATCCAAGTTTAAATGGAAATGATGAAACATCATAGTCACTTAAGACAACAGTAATATTCCTTATCTAATTTACAACATTTGTACTCATCTTAGCAACTCTGAGGTCAATTAGAGTATTTTTACACTCTAATGTTTGATTAAACATTTCAAACGCTTCATCAAAACCTGATGTTATTAATATCAAGTTGAACATTTTTAAAATGTGTACCTTGTTAGTCAATTTTTTAGAAGCATGCAATGGTATTTTCTCTGGCTACTTTAAAAAGAGCAAATGAGGCAGAGTTCAGTGTAAACAACACTAAGAATAAAGTTAAGAAATAAGACTAGGTAGAAAACAAAAATACTCAAAATAATCCTGAAGTTTCTGATACTTGTAATATGTGAGGTTTAAAGGTGATTTATGTGTCATCCTGCCTCAGTAACCCAACAATGCAGGGTACAAATATTACATAAAATCACTCCAAACTGAGAACCAAACACATCAGACAGATCATATTAGGAGAATCATGATTCACAGTAAGTTCTTTTCCTTTTCATCTGGCAAGTAAAATGTGGTTACCTGTAAGTGTGGAAAATAAAAAGCTGAGATAGTCCACATCACTCATCAACCAGTCGTTGACTGAATGCTTCCATCCAGAGAGTGATGATCTATAATAAAGAATAGGAGAACTAGTACCACAAGTCCATTTTTCTTTCCTTCTCTTCCTCCTTCCCTTTCTTTTTTGAGGGAGGGAACCCAAGACCTCTATGTGTTCTACTACTGGACAACATCTCCAGTCTTACCATTTTCCTTTATTGAAAACAAGACTGATTTAATAAAGCTTAAAAGAAAACCCATAATGCATACTGTTTTAATTTTATATATAAGGCCTCAAGTACTATAATATGAAAATTAAAAATTCTAACATTTATATCTATGCAAAGTTTCATTAAAAATTGTAATTGACCCACATTTATGATGTAACATGAAATTTCCATCCCATTTCAAAATTAAGACTCCAAGGAGCCAAGAAGGAAGTTTTGCTTTTCAGTAATGGGCCCTGCCACTATGTACTTACTATCTGATTTTTATAAAGTCTTACTCTTGGCAAGTAAGTTGTTTATCAAATTCCAACTTCTTATCTTAATTGGGCAAAGAAAACTTGTCTTTAAAGCCACCATAAGATAAGTATTGTTTCTATTCTTAGTAAATGTATAACTAGGTCTACTTCACAATACTATAGCTTAGGTACTGAGGACTCAAGGGAATAACTAAATGTAAAGCAGCTTCTCATTAAATGAGGATTATTTGCTTCTTGCTATGATATCAGTTTTTGGTAACACCTTTTAAAACCTCAAGGCAAGGCTAGAAAAGAGCATGTATCAACCAAGGATATGGCAAAAAACGAAAACAATGATCATACCCAACAAGCTGAAACTACAAATTTTTATAACAGGCATCTGAGTAAATTTAGGCAAAATTAGGATTTTCTAATTTGCTTTAATAAATTTTTGCACTTAAATATTTTTAACAACTTAATAACTGAATTTGTATTATTATTCTTAATGGGAAGGGTGGTAAAATAAAAGAAACAGTCTTCTGCATGTCATTCCCAAGCAATATATAAAGTACTAACTACAAAGGAAATGCTGTAAGCTAAGAAGTTATAAAAAAGTAACAAATGCTCAATAGAAAGGGGTACAAGAGAGTAGTTAGAAAACATCCACTTGGACCCAGTAAATACAGAAAGCAATTGTGCCACCCAGTGGCTAAAATGAGTAGCAAATCCATTTAAGTGTCATTAGGGACAAAGGAGAAGTAATACATCAAGTTTTCAAAACTATGCTGACCATATACACTATCCAAGCCAAAATGCTTCTGAGAGGGAGAGTTATTACTAACTATGCAAGGGCAAAAGGGGTAAACTGGAAATGTTCCTGGCAGACCAGGCTGTGTGTTCATCTCACTTAAAACCCAAGCCAAAGTTTCGTAGTACAAGCAACTTCTCATTCCTCAAAGATTTTATTCAATTCAAAACTGCAGATTACCTTTCCATATTTATACTTTATATTCACCCAATTCAGTAAATAAATCAGGGGCATAAAAGTAAGTACTGAGGAAGCACAAAAGTTTTTAAAAAGGAAGGACACGTCTCAAGTGGTAGAGTACTTGCCTAGGAGGGCCTGAGTTCAATCCCTACAGTACTTCAAAACAAAAACAGATTGAGAAGTCCACTGGAACAACACAAGCTAGGCATCAGCAATCAGAACCTGACAGTGTATACAGACATCATAGTTTTGCACACAATATGCCATATTGCTTGTCACTTGTCCCCAATACTCATAAATGGATTTGCTACTTTAAGCCACTGGATGGCACAATTCTTGTTTTTACTGGGTTCAAGAGGGTATTAGTTGGCTTTCTAACCACTCTTCCTCCATATAACCTTTCTGGTAAATACATAGCAAAATGGTATGGGGAAAAATATTCAACCCTAAGAAACTATAAGTGGCTGGTAGAAAGGCAGGGGCAACAATTCTAAGTATACTTCTTATAAGAACAACTTGTAGATGGTGGGTTTTCCACACATGGAATAGGTCCTGAGGAGGTAACCTGCTCTTAGGTAAAACAACCATGCATCACAACTACAAAAAATTGAGTTGAACCTCACAGCTCAGTCAATGTAACAAGATAAAAATCAGAAAAGATTAAAGAAATATTTCAGGAAAATTAATCTAGGAACAGTGCCCACAATAGTCACAGTCAAGGAGAGAAGGAATTATTTTGGTAAAACAGTTTGGCCGAGGAGTGGCTCCAAGTGGTAGAGCATCTGCATAGCAAGTGTGAGGCCCTGAGTTCAAACCCTAACCATCCAAAAAGAAAAAGCATTAACACAGTAAAATATTACCTGAAGGAACAAAACACTGTCTTAAACTGTGATGCCATGGCCATGAAGTCATAAAATGGTAATGCCACTAGTCTGAGAGTTGTTATATTCTTTTTTAAAAATATTCTAAATGGGAGAAATATGTATTTACAGAGAAGAAAATAGACAAATAAACTGCACAAGTACCTGAACGGAAAATTTGATCTGGTGGGCTTTAATAACTACAGTAACAAGCTGCTGTGTGTGTTTGTGCAGGTGTGTGCACAAAAGTTTGAACACACACTACCATGGAGCAACTCCCAGCCCTTACTGAACCCCAACCTGCCTTTTTTTCCCTTTTCCTTTCTTTGGTGGGACTGGAGTTTGAACTCAGGGCTTCACACTTGAAGAACAGGAGCTCTACCACTTGAATCACTCACCAGTCCCATTGTGCTCTGGTTATTTTGGAGATGGGGTCTAGTGATCTATTTGCCTGGGCTGACCTCGAACCTCAATCCTCCTGATCTTGGCCTCCCAAATAGCTAGGATTGTAGGTGTCAGCCATGGTGACCAGCTCTGTGCCTGCTTGTGATGATTACTGACTTTTATCATTAGTATTTGTAGGTCGGTATGTTTTCCTAACTGTCACCACAAATCTCAAAAAAAAAAGACACCAGACTTTTGGGCAGCACTGCGGGGTGGGGGGGGGGGCGTGGTTCCAACTCAGGGCCTTGTACTTGTTAGGCAGGTGCCAGCTGAGCTATGCCCCCAATCCTTTTTGTGCTTGAAGTATTTTTCAGATACAGTCTCCCACTTCTTGCTTGGGGCTCCCCTCGAACTCACAATTCTCCCAATCTCGGCCTCCCAAGTAAATGGGATTATGGCTGTAAACCACCTTGGCCAGCTTGTTTTGTTGAGATGGGGGTCTCAGTAAATTTTTGCTTAGTCTGGCCTTGAACCACAAGACTCACGATCTCCACTTCATGAGTAGCTGGGATTACAGAGGTGCACCACCACACCCAGCTAAAACAAGACTTCTGCAACTATCCCTGACAAAAGCTAGTAAGCATAAGTGAATCATTACTAATACCAGTAAAGATATTTAATGCAGCTTCTAAAGAGAATCAATTTAAAGAAATGTTCAAAAGGCAGTCTTAATTGACTGTTAAGTTATAGCTAAGGAACAGAGTGCCCTGCAATGGAAATTAGTAAGTATAAAACTACTGTTACAGAAAAAGCAGTAGCATTTAATTTTTGAGGCCTAACATTAAATAAATGCTTAGCCAAGTGCAGAGGTTTTTTTCTAAGGAAAAACATGGGAAACTAATCAATGTTTAAAATACTTAAAAGTAAACATGACCAAGACTCTCTAATTTACATACACAAAGAGAAGAAGTAACTTGAATTTCCACATAAACGCAGCATATTGCCAGAAGGAAAGGTGTAGTCAGTTATGAAGCATACTTCCAATAACAATAGTCAAATATTTGCCCTATACTGGCAATCTAAGTTTATTACATGAATGAGCTACTCCACTTATCTGAGACAGGAGACCTGTACTAGCCTTAATAAAATGTTTCATTCACAGCCTAGATTTCAATTTTTGCATAAAATATCACACCCTGTCCGTGAGCCACAACCACTAGTAAATACTGATAAATACTGAAATACTGTGACTTAGATTTGACCATAAAATGTCTGAAGATACTTTAAACACTGACAATATGAACTTGTTATAAAACCTTTTACAGTAAAATGGTGCAGCCAGCATGGAAAACAGCACGTCAATTCCTTAAAATGTTAAACACATAGCCTGAGGGGTGTGACTTAGTGAGGCGCACTTATGCACCAGGCCCTGCACTTACATACATAATTTTTTTGAAGTGTTACCACGTGATTCAGCAATTCCACATCTGAGTATATAGCCAAATTTGAAAGGAGGATCTCAGAGGTATTTGTACACCAATGCTCCTAACAGCATCATTCACACTAGGCAAAAGGTGGTTAACAACCCACATATTCATAAACAGATGAATGGATAGGCAAACTGTAGTATAAATTTTTTTCTTTTCATATACTGGGGTTTTGAACTTAGAGCCTCACAGTTGCTATGCAACCTAGCAAGTGGCTCAAGTGCTCTGCTAGCCCACATAGAATACTGGCCTTAAAAAAAATAAAATTCTAATACATGCTACAACATGACGAATCTTGAGGATAGCGTGAAAAAGAGTCAGACATGAAAGGAAAAATGTTTCCATTAATATGAGGTATCTAAAGTAGTAAAAATCATAAAGACAGGATAGAATAGTGGTTACCAGGAGCTGGAAGGAAGGGGAGGAGAGGGGGAGGGAATTAACTGGTTAATGGGCAGAATTTTAGTGTGGTGTGTTTTATTTTGCTTTTGGCTTCACTAAGGTTTGAATTCAGGGCCTCAAACTTGCTAGGCAGGTGCTCTTTGAGCCACTCCACCAGCCCTACAATTTTAATTTTAGTTCAGGATGAGAAAGTAGTTCTGGAGAATACCACTAATAGCCTTGAAAATGTTCAAATGGTGAATTTCATGTTAAGTATACTGTATCACACAAAAACAAGAGATTTTAAATGATTCCCAGTTTGAACCCACAGCTTAATTTAACAGCTACATTAAATTCTGAGCTCCTTAAAAGGAAGATCTGTATCACAATTTCACAACATGAGATTTTTTAAGTATAGTACTCTCACCTACAAGCTTCTGATTATTCAATTTCACCACTATTCCAACCTATTTATATAAATTGCAAAACAAATAAAACACCCTTACCCTAGAAAACTTTCTATAGCTAGTGAAGCTATCAACAGAATTGTGACTGTGGCATTAAAAGTAAATGAAGCTGGGCTGGCAGAATGGCTCAAGTGGTACACTGCCTGACTAACAAGCACAAGGCTCTATGTTCAACCTATAGTACTGCCAAAAACAAAACAATGAAGCTAGAGGTATGGCTCAGAAACAGAAAAAGGAGAAAAAAGTCAATGAAGATGGTAGCAGTATGTGATGTTAAAGAAGTCTTTTGTATTCAACTTTCAGTACAAGGGAATTAGATCATATACACTTAAAATATAGCTCACTTGAGCATGATACCTCATGTGCAGTATCCTAATAAGTGTGGTTGCCAAAGCTGGACTGAGTCTTCCCATAATACAGCAACGACTTAATCGAGAAAGCAAATCAGCAGGCAGACTGGGTAGGAAATATACAAGCTGAACCAAACGTTGCTGAGACTCTGCAGGGAGAACCACCACAGTGCCTTCCTGGGGATCTAGTGGGGAGTAAATATATGAAATTCAACTATGAGAGATATACAGACCAGAGGTTAAATTAATAAAGCAAACTGATGATTTTCGTTCAACTATAGGCTGACAAATTATGTGGAATTTCAATGACATCAATTATGTACAAAAGCTTTTATCACAAAGCATACATATGCAGCTTGTTAAGCTATTTAATCTAGTAAAACACTGAACATAATCAGTTTTTAAAATATTTACTTACTTGACACTACAATAATTTCACAATTTCTTAAGGGAAATAAACTTTGATGGGGACAAAAAGGGACTGGGCACAAAGTACAATAATGAAAAACAATTCTGCTAAGCAATCATAATTACAGTATCAACCTAATTCAACACAAAGGACCAGTTTGCATGCTCAGTGTGTATATCTCTAGATACACACCTACACATATACATGCAGTATCTTAAAACCCACAAAAGGTGGAAGCCATCCAAGTATCCATCGCTTAGTGAATGGATAGATACAAATGCATATCAATACAAGAGAACATTACTCCGTCACAAAAAGGAATAAAGTACCAATATACTGATACTTGAAAGTATTATGCTAACAGAAAGAAGCCAGAGGCCTCATATTACACATAATTGCATTCATAATAAATGTCCAGAATAGGTAAATCCAGAGACAGAAAGCAGATTAGTGGTTACCAGGGGCTAGAGTAAAGAGACACTAAGGAATGACTCATGAGTACAGGATTTCATTTTGGGGTGATAAAAATATTCTAAAGTGTGTAGTTATAGTTACACAACCTTATGAATATGTTTAAAAACCACTGAACTGTACATTGGAAAATGGCAAACTTTACAGTCTGTGAATTATACCTCAATAAACAAGTATAAACTATATATGCATGTATGTACATATATCCAGTAAGCTTTTATTATTTTGTTTAATATTAAGTAGTAAGTTCTGGAGATGAACAAATGAACAAAATACTAATGTATAGACGTCACACAAGTCATTCATTACAATTAAATGACTAATAAGAGTATTATCTTGCCATCAATGCTTCAAAGAAATTTCTTGAAAGTACCTTAAGAATTTATGACTCACAAGTGGTTTCAAAGATAATCTCAGAATGCACCATCTATAACTATTACCCTTCTATAACTATTTTAATACTGAAAATGAATTTTACTGTTTGATGTTTTGTTTGGGCAATGTAGCCATGTCATAATTTGGACTGAACAAAAGGCAAATCTAAAGAATTTCTCTTAAAAATGTCTTTCCCACTTTTGGATAGACAAATGACTACCTACACTCTAACAAACTCTTACCATAGATTTGAAGAGCAGTAGCTTGTAAACTTTTTAATAATTCTTTATTTGCTCGTGCTGCAGCAGTATGGATGATATCAATCAACTGTGTCGACAGTTCAGGGTTTCGGGAGCCAAGATGAGAGAGCTGCAATGGTAAACCAGCCAGCCAACGGGACAGCACTCTACTACGGTATCTTTGGAAGGCCAAGGAAAAAACAGCATCAAGTGTGATTTACAAAGACAAGGGAAATAAATTTAAACCAAAACTTTCCCACTAAATGACTAATTATATACCAGCAATAATACCACATTTATTCATTTAAATATTTGGAAACCTATAAAGATGCCAGTATCATTTATCCAGTAGCAGCATTTTCCAACTTGTCCACTAAATTAAGAAGTTCTATCATTTGGTAGATTATCTGAAAGGACAGTGTTGTCATGTAACTCTGTGGGCTGTTTATTCTAATTACTGTTAATCATACTATATATGCAGCTGATGCATTTGTTTTATGTTGCACACAAACAAAATAGCTTCAAACTCGCATCACTTTATTCTTCAGGGCTCTTGCTAGAGCTCTGATGTCTTGGTTAACAGCCAATACAATATTGTGCTGTCCCCTGGGGCTTAGTGCTAAAGTACAGACTATGTTGTCAGACAGACCTAAACTTAGGTCTCAGTTCTGCTATTAGCTAGATGATACCTGCCAACTTACTTAACCTGTTAAATAAAAAAGCTTCTGTTTCCTTCGGTATAATGGGACTTAACAGTTCCTACCTCATAGTAGTCGTATCAGAAATACTGAGACTCTGAAAGCACTTGGTCTAAAGACTGTGTTCTAACAAGTCATATACCTCAACATGCTGAGGTATTCCAAATCTCTATCTTCCACCCCACACAACTTAGAGACTGCCCCAAATAACCTCAAACTCACCATATCAAAAAGTTAATTCCTTAGTTCCACTCTTTGTGTTGTCTATCTCACTTGACAGCACCAAACAAAGCCAGAAACTTTCTCATCTTCTATTGCCCTTATTCTTGTCCAATGTCCCAATATGACACTAATGGCTAGTGACTGAACCTCCAAAAATTTTATGGAAAGAAAAAAACAAGGTTGTGGCTGCTATAGGTTGTTCCAACAGTCCTTTGGCTATAAGAAGACAAGTAGAAATATGTGCTAAACAAGCTTTTATCTATTTGGACACAGGTATAAAGTTTCCTTATACTATGAAGTATATATATTTTAGAATTTTGTCATTTGTTTTATAACCAAGTAAAATATCTTCCCAAAAATTTAATCAGTCTACTGACTTACAGAAATATACTACAAAATAACTCAACAAAAACTGGAAATGTGACTCAGTGGTAAAGTGCTTGCCTGACATGCACAAGGCCCTGAGTTAAATCCCCAGTACCACCAAAACAAAAAAACCTTGGCGAGAGAAAAAGAAAGGAAAAATAACAGAATTTCACCTGAATCTGTAAGATCTCAGTTCTTCTGATTTTACTGAAAAACTTCAGTAACAAAGTCCAACTGGAAAGATAAAACCCCTCTGCTGATACAATGTATAAACTGCCTTAAACAGAATCTCTGTTCGTCTCTAAAAAACCCAGCACCACCAAAACAAAAAAACCTCAGCAAGAGAAAAAGGAAAAATAACAACTTTACCTGAATCTGTAAGATCTCAGCTCTTCTTTCTGATAGATTTTACTGAAAAACTTCAGTAACAAAGTCCGAACTGGAAGAATAAGACCCCTCTGCTGATACAATGTATAAACTGCCTTAAGCAGAATCTCTATAGCCTCTAAAAAGACAGGAAAAAATTCTTTTACATATGAATCAAAAATGTTTCCTCAACCTCCCTAAATTCCTCTAAATGCACAGAAGTATTTTTATTTTGTACCTATAGCAAAGCAGGTCTCAGCTACAAACTGATAATCATCATCAAGGTTCTAAAGCAATAGCATGATTAACACAAGTCAAACATACCAGAAGTTACAGTGTAAGTTTTCTTAAGGAACAAACTTAAGAATGACAAAAACCAAAATATTAGAAAGGTGAATTAGATGGGAATCAAACAGAAAAGCTTTGAATTTGAAAAGAATTAGTAATAATTCCAAAAATTCAGGAATAACTTAACCTCAAGCTAGAAGACAGGTGGAGACAAGGAGGATTCATTCTATACTGATAAGAGGAAAAATTCCTCAATCTCCAGTCAGACTAGCTCAGAAGAGGGTAGAAGTCTTAATCAATTTGCCTCAGAGTGGGCCTACCCCAAGAAAGGGATATTCTGAGTCATAAATAACTTCAGTGCTCAAGCAGATGGTGCTTTATAAATCCTTAGGCTAGCTATCTGGTATGGCTTGACTGTAATTAATGTAACTACATGGCATGATGTAAGCTACCATTTCAAAGACAGAGGAATAGTATGCATAAGAGCTCCTTATAAATAAGGACAAAACAGCATCACCTACCTCTGTTTGACTGTATCTGGATTAACCTCCAAGATACTCCAAGCAATCTGTTCAGCTGCTTACTGTTTAGCCTAGTACCATCTTCAAGAGTCTCTGTTACAAATTTCCTTATCATTTCTATCCAACTGGAATCTTTCTGCAAAGTTGAGGCATTTGCCAGGGAGACCATGATATCAGACAGTGTTAGATTCAGTAAGAGATGATCTACGTTACTGGAGAAAATCGTGCAATGCTTGATGCTAAAAAGAAACAAACACACACACATCTATAAAGTGTTATATCTACCATGCCTATTCATTCAATTTTAAAAAAGCCTTTCAACGGATAAAAAAAACCTTCCTCCAAGATTTATAAATTGTTAAGACAAGTGTGCAGACAAGATTTAGGCCGTAATTCTGTAAATGAGCTATTCATTATATGTCAAGGTTATTAAGAAAACCTGACTTGAGAGTATATATGACTCAATTCATTAAACTGTTATCTACACAGAAGGCAAATGCGTGAGATTCTTAGAAGACTCGAAAAACTTAATGAAAAGCCTGAAAACCCTAAAGTACTAGATTTTTTAAAAAGCAAGTAACTTCATTTGGATGTACAACACAGTACATCTTGGCTTTACTTCTAACTAATTATGTGACTTAAAAGAATCACTAATTTCTCCTGGTCTTAATTTCCTCATGTATGAAATAAGGAGACTGATTCAGGTAAGCAATGGTCTGAAATGACTTAACTTTGTAATTTACATATTAAAATAGGTTTATTTACTCTAGCCATATAAAACTCTTCTTTCAAAGCTTGAAAGCCATTTCAAAATACCTCAAAATATTTTAATAAAAATAAAATTTGCAACTTAGGGCATACTCACTTCAGACTATTCAACAATAGAGCTTATTTCATGTTCAGAAAAATGTACAGTTGACTAGAATCATAAATATCTCAAACTAACCAGTTTTAGAGGAAAGACATTAGGCTTGAGTAAAGATACAGTAATAAAGAATCACACATACACTCATAGAAAAAGGAAAAATACTGTATGATTCCACTTACATGCAACACCTAAAGTGAACAGATTCAGACAAAAGTTGAGGGAGTAGTATGGCAGTTATTTATTGAGTACAGAGCTTCAGTTTTAGGTAACAAAAGAGGAAGATGGATGGTGGTAACAGCTGCATAATAAGGTAAAAGTACTTATTGACACAGTACACTTAAAAAGTAGTTTAAATGGTTAATGTTATGCTTATACATTTTACCACAATTACAGCATTTGTAATGCTGTATTTCAACCTGAAGTATGGGTATTAGGCTAAAAATACACTGGAGATACATAAATAAGTGTGAAGACATTAGCCTAACTGACTTGTGTTGCCCTCAAGCTATTTGCTAAGTCAAGAAACTTACTTACAGAAGAACAAGAACAACAACATATAGTCTCAAGAAGAATAAATTAGTTACATGAGCAATCTACCTTTGCTAAAAAAATCCCACAATTTCATCATCTTAATCTTCTCATCAAGTAAACTCCTCCTTTTTTCCTGTTGTATCTTGGCACAATTATGACTTCATCAGGGTAGTCTTCCCTAGAACCCTCCCTGATGAAAGATCAGGACCAGTTCCTTATTATATACTCTTATATTACCCTAACTCTTCCTTCATTTTATTTATTACAGTGAGTCATGGATTTAAAAAAACAAATAAATAAGTCTCCCTCATTAGATAAATTCCACAAGAACTAGTACTCTACCTTGTTTATCACTAAATGCTCAGCACCTATTATATTTAACACCGTGCAAATTAAAATGTATTAAAAAATCTGTTGCGTACTCTCATACACTTAGATCATTTACTTACACTTAATGGTCCATTAAATTCTAAGCATACTTAGTATTATCTAATCTTATTTTGATGAAAATTATACATTGAACCACCTACCACAAAAAATACACATACAATTCTAAATGATTTAAAGAGTACCAAGACTTTCTGGAGCTTACACATACTCCAGATCATAATTTTCACAATAAGAAAATTGTATTGAGGGGGGAGGATATCACAATCTTGCTCAAGAAATGCTCTCTCTGACCCTGCCCCCTTTAACTGCAGAACTCCCTAAGTTAATCTTCCTAAAAACACTTTGACTCAATCAAAAAAAGTTCTCAATGACAAAAGAATCAAAGCCAAAAGAAAAACTAACTCCAGAGACAAGAAATTATTTACAACATCACATCAAGGCCAGTAATGAGTAGAACCAACTTAACCAAGTCCATGCTCCCCATCCTCAGTGTAGCACTAGTTTTCCTATATGCTGTATCCTCCTGTCAGTACAGTCTACCATCCCTTGCATTTCTGCCTACTGTAATCATATTATGTTCAAATCTAATACTTTTTAATACTACTTCAAATAACACTCTTTGTCTGGTTATCCAGACAAGAAATGTGTTTCTTTCTACGAAGTGTGTAGTACTTAATTACAGTTTTAATCATACTTATATACTGCATGTATTACATAAGTAAATTCACTTCTCCTGCCAGTTAATGAGCTATTCCCAGCTTCCAACTCACCCTCTGCACTTTACTTTGTGTTCCTGGGACTGGAACTCTGTAAGTCACATTTATCTGAATTTATAGCTAGCTGCCTGTTAGGCTCTACCAATAAAATGGTGTAAAGAAACTAGAAAGCTGCAGTAGATAGGATCCTGTTTCCTTTCTAACTGTTTTTGCCTCCTATTGCTGGCAGTGTCACCCAGCAACTCTTCCACAGGCTATTAGCAGTTTTTTCTTGCAGCTACCATGATTCCAGTTTCTAGTTTTTCTGACACAGAACTAGCCATCACCAGACCCCCAACACCAGCACCAGCCAATTAGAATTTCCTTGTTGAGTTCTGGGTCCCGCCTGATAGGGTCTTCTCCTCTGGGTCAAAAAATGAGTACCAGGTGAGCAGCACCCCTTTCTCAGAGGTCAGCTTTGGCTCCCTTCCTCCAGGCTTCTCGCCTTCTTTTTCTCTCAGTTTTACCAACAGTAGTTACTTCCTACACTTGCTACCTCCATAACAACTTACTGTTTCTTTATGTCTTTTTAATTTAATACTTAAGTAACAATTATTTAAACTCTTAAAAAATCACTTAGTATGGTTTTTATCTCCTGACTGGATGTCGCTACACTTGATTACAATGTAGATGAAATCATTAGAAAAACAAAGAATATACCTCAAGATATATCATTATCTCTATCATAGTACCTTATATATAGTAAGCAATCAAAACAAATATTTAGTGAATAAATGAAAAACTCACATCCTTGTAACAGCTTCTTGCTTTTGAGCATATCCCTTAAACATGCTCAAAGAGCCTCAATGTTTCTCCAGCTAGTCTCTTCCCTTTGACATATGTGGGAAAGACTTTTAAGTTCACTTGAGATAGACTTAAGTGTTTGCTCATTGGGGCAACTATAATTTTATTGTTCTAGCTTGTACCAGAGCTTGTCAAGTTTGATTATGGAACTTGTCCTCACATTTATTATTATTTTATTATTATTATTATTATTTATAATTCATTTAAAATGAAGTAGACATTTTAAATACTTTCCAAGATTATTCTATTTTTTAAACTCTATCTTCTTATGTATTATCCACTCTTTCTGGTTTTTTTTCCTTCTTTCAGACAGTGACAATAGTTTCATTTCCTGTTTCCTTATGTATAAATGAGAGCATTTCTACTAGATTACCTTAAAGATACTCAGCGATTCAATAATTACACAGTGCTTTACCTAAATAAGCCGCCCTCACCAACTTTTATTAAATTCTTATTTATGTAATGAATATATCTAACACAAAATACAGACTTTTGGAGGAGAAAAACTGTGCCCTAAGGCTTAAAGTAACTTGTTTAAGATCAGCTATGCTATTGCTACTTTTAATTTCACAAAATGTATATACAAACATAGTATATCCTCCCAGCATAGAATGCTTCAGATTAAGGTTATTCTCTAATAATATCAAGTTATATAGCTTTTCGGGGCTACACAATGGAAAATAATCACAATACCTTTTATGTGTCTCTTTCCTTCGGTTCTTGGTTATTTCTTTCAAGGCATATGGAAAATGACTCATAAAATGGTGTTTGAAATCAATAAGGTAATTCTTTCGAAGCCATGACTCCTATTGAAAAAAAATTAAGATTAGAAGATTTATGAGGAAAAGCATAAAATAAGCAATAAAATTTTAAGCAGGAATTTTACAAGTTGTCTTATTCAATTATTAATCTTCCATCACAATATTCCTTCTGCCAGTGAAATAATATATAAATTTTAAAGTGAGAAGGAACTCTTTATCCATTTTTATCCACAGATCCCTTTGATGCTTAATAATTTTTTTTCTTGCACTTGTCTGCTATTTAAGAGAGAAAGAGTAAATGAGATTTAAAATAATTCTGAATTTATACTAATCATCATAAAATACACAAGAAAATGTTCTATTTCATTTTCTATTTATACTGTAACTCTATTCTCCAAGAATTCTATTATTTCTCATTAAAGATAGTCAACACTTTCAATGCTTTACGATACTGGCGAGTTTACCAGTACTCCTACTGGTAATAGTAGTATCGTCTTGCTAATTCCAGATCGACAAACTGATTTCCTTTTATCCAGGGCAATCAACCATCCCATTCTGCCAACAACTGAGGAGTTTACTAAGAAGCAAAACTTAAGACAGTAAAACAGCTTGTTCACTCTAGAGCTCAGTTGTTCCTGCTTAGTATCTTTTACTGGGTTTTTCTCTTCATCCTGACTTCCAAATGTTTGGACTTACCCAATTATCAAAAGCTAGAATATTTCTGCCCAAGCTCCAATTCTAAATACAAAAGTATACTTGACATCTTCCCCTAGACTTGCAACAGGCACCTTGAAAACTAACGTTGAGTAAAACCAAATTCTCCCTGCTAGTAAGTCACCTTGGATCATAACACAGGCATTATCCTGACTCCTCTTTCCACTATGCACACCAGCACTACTGCTGGCTTTATGTGAATCCAACTACGTCTATCATCCTACTCCAAGCCACCATCATCTTGTACCTGAATCAACTAGTCTCCCTGATTCTCCTCTTGCCCCAAATGTCAACTCTCCATAGAAACAGGATCTTTTAAAACATAAATCATGCTTCAAAATGATACATGAAAAACAACAGGGACTGGGTACGGATATAGGGGTAGGGCAGGACTGGTCATCTTTTGTATGATGGTTGCTAAAAGTAATAGTGCACACAGAAGAGTTCGTTACTTTTTTTTTTTTTTTTGTAAATTTAACACATTAAAAGTTACATAAACATAATATGGGTCCTCTGACCAAATCTTCAATCAATGTCTTTTCACCACACTTAGGTTAAAATCCAAAGTCCTTACCAGGGACCAGAAAGTCCCACATGATCTGCCACTATCATTCTTTTTCTCCCTCATCTTCCACCATCCTCCCAGTAAGTACCTCAAAGTACCTTAAACAGGTCTTCATGCAATTCCTCAAGTATGTCCATCTTGTTCTCACCTAAGTGACTTTGTACTTGCTGTTTCTGTGCCTAAATGTTCTTGCTACAGATCTCTTCAACAAGACTTGATCGTCTACTACATTCAATTACCTTCAAATATCACGTATCCACAGAGCACATCCTGACAGCCTATCACTGTATTTTCACTCCTCACCTGTTTCCCCACATCCTCTCTACATTCTCTATCCATCTTTATTTCTATAATTAATATTATGTATTTGTTTACTGTCTATCAACTCCACCAGAAGATAAGCACCATGAGAATGAGCACTTATTAATGATGCTTATCTTTGCATCCCCAGAGCCAGGAACACCACAGGAGTATTCAGAAGACCTATCTGTTCTATATTAAACACAAGTCATCACTAGTCACATGTAGCTACTGAGCACTTAAAACATGGCTAGAGCCTCTAATCCTAGCGACGCAAGAGGCAGAGATCAGGAAGGTCACATGGTTCAAAACCAGCCCAGGCAAATAGTTAAAGAGACCCTATGTAAAAAACACCCATCGCAAAAAAGGGCTGGTGGAGTTCAAGCCCCAGGACCACAAAAGAAAAGAAAAAGAACATGGCTAGAGTTAATCCCCAGCACTGCAGGGGGGAAAAATGGCTACTGTAACTGAGCAACTGACTTTTAAATGGTAATTAACTTAAGTAGCCCTATGTATAGAAGACCAACATATTTTTGAGTAAATTTTGCAAAAAAAAGCAGCACAACTACATCTGACTGTTTGCAAATTCAAACATCTCATGGAAAAGGACAACAGCAATAGGCCATATAAAGAAAAATTAGCAAGTAAGCCATTAAAATACAAATCTAAAACACAAGAAAATTTTATAGTAAATTATAATGCAGACCCTGACATTATTAATACATGGTCCTAAAATCCAAAGTAAAATGAAAAGTTAATGTTAAATTATATTTTCATTTTTAAAACTAGAAATATATCAAAGAATGTGTCCTTAAAAAAGCACTTGAGTCAGGTGCAGTGGCTGACATGCGTAATTCCAGCAACTCAGGAGGCAGAGATTGGTGAAACTACAGTTCAAGGCTAGCCTGGGAAAAGTTAGTGAGCCCATGTCCACACACAAGCCAGGTGCAGTGGGTACATGCCTCTAATCTCATCTACCAGAAGGCATAGGCAGGAGGATGGTGGTCTGAGGGTGGTTCCAGGAAAAAACACGAGCTCCTATCTGAAAAACAACCTAAAGCAAAAAAGGGTTAGCTCATGAGATATACTGCTTGCCTAGCAAGTGGGAAGTCTAGAGTTGAAACCCAGTACTGCAAAAAAAAAGAAAATTAAGTAAAATTTCTCAGCTGTGCTGCAAATAATACCAAACTAAATGCAGGAAGCAGCATCAACACTTAAAAGTAAGCAGTCAGTGGTCCTAAGATTATACCTAATCCAATGTCAATCTGTTAACAAGAAAATCTATAGACTTTCTCAGGGAAAAGTTACAATTCAGTCTGTGGTCTGCAACGTTTGTTCAAAGTCCAAGGAATTCTTTCATTTCTTCTAAAGATTCAGCTCTTATGGAGGTCACCTATACACCTAATATCTATTATTTTTGGGGGTTTCTGATGGTGCTAGGGTTTGAACTCAGGGCCTCACACTTGCTATGCAGGTGCGCCTACCACTTGAGCCACTCCACCAGCCTTTTTTGTGTTGGTTTTTTTCAAGATAGAGGTTCGCCAACTTTTTGTCTTGGGCTGGCTTCAAACGTGAGCCACCACTGCCAAATCCCAATATCCTCCTATTGGGTCTACATGTGAAGATGAATGGTGGGAATGGTAAGAAAATAAATGTCATTGTGTACAGCTAATATACACTTTTATACTTCTGTGACTAAGATAACAGATTTTGTTGTTTTTCTGGCAGCAGTGGGGTGTGAACTCAGGGCCTCACGCTTGCTAGGTATGCACTCTTACTGCTTATGGTGGCAGCTCAGCCAGCCATAAGATAAGTTTTAACCAATTATTAGTTCATCCAGAGGCACCTGCACACCCATGTTTATTGCAGCACTATTTACAATAGCTAAGTTATGGAAACAGCCAAGATGCCCCACCACTGACGAATGGATCAAGAAAATGTGGTATCTATACACAATGGAATTCTATGCAGCCATGAAGAAGAACGAAATGTTATCATTCGCTGGTAAATGGATGGAATTGGAGAATATCATTCTGAGTGAGATTAGCCTGGCCCAAAAGACCAAAAATTATTATGTTCTCCCTCATATGAGGGAGAATGTCCTCATATGAGGACATTAGATCAAGAGCAAACACAACAAGGGGAATGGACTTTGAGCACATGATAAAAGCGAGAGCACACAAGGGAGATGTGAGGATAGGTAAGACACCTAAAAAATTAGCTAGCATTTGCTGCCCTCAACACAGCAACTAAACTAAAGCAGATACCTTAAAAGTAACTGAGGCCAATATGAGAAGGGGACCACGAACTAGAAAAAAGGTTAGATC